CAGTAGTCAGGTACTCCAGGATGTGGAGCCTAGGTATCGCATTATGTAAAAATTACTATTTGCTCTAATTGTCTCTGCATACAGGCTCCGACCATATTTCTAAACACAACTAATACGGTTTGTTACCACTCATTTGCAGAAGGCGATAATCACCAAGCCAAAACTTTTAGGTTGGCTCCTCAACAAGGTTACGGAGTTGAGTGAATTCTGCCTATTATATGTCCCCGAAATGACAATAAAAGCCTAGGCAGTGGTTGATTTTTGAGTTGATTTCACCAAACTGGAAATAGATGAAGTCGACACCGACAACCAGACATGGGCCTTGCATATAGATGGAGCCTTTAGATATGGAAGGTTACAGATTTCAATATCGAGAGTGTCAGTCAAGAGGATAATCAGGTCACCGACCTTTTATCTAGATGCATTCGTCGAGGAGAAAGAACTCCCCAGAAGCTAATCAGGCCAAGTATCGAAGAACCTGATGACACAGGGTGTCCAATCGGTAAAACCAATTCGACGATGACACGTCGTGAAATGCAAAAAGTTGTCTCGTTACTGGAGACAAAAACCCGTATCTTTTAACTCGAAGACCTGCATAGCTCCAGGGATGATTCCCTAATCTTCAACAACGAGATCCACATCAAATGGGTAAAATCAGAGAGTGGAATAGTAAGCCCGACTGGTGGCCCCTCTCGCTCCAATATCCAGAGAAGCTACACCTAGAGATCATATTACTTCTCCGCCCTACATGGGGGACTGCTTCTCTTCCGCTTCCTCCTTGCTTGAGTGGAGGAAGCTGAGGGTCATAGGAGAATGCTCTCTATGGACAGTTGAGGGTCCGGTGCCTAAAAAAACGACATTATGATGAGGTTCGGCTTTAAGGAGAAAATAGTGAACGATAAAAGTCAACAATTACCTTACGTCACCTTTGCAATTGGCGTTGGAGGAGCCCGACAATCGAGGGGTTCCTTATGTTTTTCCTTAGATTTCTTCTCGCGACTTTAGCCACCATACCCTCACGCCGCGCAACTACTCAACGTCGGTCTCTTTCCAGAGTTCGGCGGCCTCCATATTTAGTCGACTAGAGGACCTTATTTAGAAAGTCTTAGTCCAAGTATTGTGGGGCCAAAAAAATAATACCATCGATCTTCTTCCCCAATTCTCTTAGAGGGCCAAGCAGAGTATCAACCTTTTTGGTTGGGCATACAGCCGACCGAATATAAATCTCCCAAACTGATCTCACAAGAACTAACCAAAAAACATAGTTCCAAATTCTTCATCTTGTTTTCAAGCCTGACCAACTTAATCAATAGACGCACAGAGAAGACAACATAACCATCTTTGGCCAACTTAAAGCTGAATAAATAGGCGAACAAGTCCGTGGACCGTGGGATACCCATCCGATGCAGGAAGGTCACGAAAGTCATGATGACCCCAATATAGTTTGGCATTACATGGGCCGGACTGATCCTATAATAGTTATTGTCCTCAACTCAGAGTACAGGTGGAGCCACAAGCCTCATTTGAAGCGATCTTTATAGAAAATTAGGTCTCTCTCGAGATCATCAGTCACCCAGACTCTAGTTCCCGCGACCTAAAGTTTAACAGAGGAATTAAAGAGATATGATTCTTGGATCCTAGTTATCTGACTATCTGAAAGAATGGACCTCTGCTCTACAGGAACGCTTCCAAAGGGATCCTGAATACTTCGGAGCCATCGAGATCAAGGCACCAAGGGAAAGGACAAGATAGGAAGAAATGCAATGTTGGGGAGGAGGATGAAAGAGCAAACAACCGTGTGAGCATCAGTTTCACCTTTACGCCTATTTATAGAAAATGGAGAGAAGTCGAACCGTCGCTAAGGTCAAAGATGTCATTTACCACAAGCAAAATGCGGGAAACGAGTCCTATCAGACACACAGATTGAGACAGTGAGTAGAAATCTCTTTTTCATTTTATAATAATAAAAAACTATTTACATTACAAAGCCTCAACAAACTAGTTGAATTAGGTTGTCGACCCCCCCTTTAGTCGAGACATACCCTCATTGAAGCATCCACCTATATGCCAATTCTTCCCCCAAACCTAAATCAGCCTGTTCTCTCTATTTCAGCTTGCGTCCGAGAAGCCGAAGTCACATCCCAAATGGTTAGAAGTTCCACTTGAAGAGAGTCCATTTTCACCCGAAGAGTGACCACCTCCGCTTGTGAAATCTTCCAGCCTTCCTCGCATCCTTTCTGACTCCTCGGCTAGTGTGGCTCCTCATCTAGCGACAATCTGTCTGATTGAGCGTCGGCTCAGCCGGGTCTCGAAGTTGTCACGCATAAGAATTCAGGGAACTTATGGCAACACCCGACAGAAGAAGACGAAGTGATCAGTGCCTTTCATGTTCTATTTATAGGAGATCGGGGACATAAAATTCTAGGGAGTTTCAATTATTGCGTCCTTAAGTTATTATAAATGTCGTTGGTTATCATAAACAAGATTCATTTGTTATTATGCAGCTATCACTATCAAGAAGAAAAGAAATCGATGAACTAATTATGTACACAAAAAATATATCAATACGAATCTCAAAGAAATTAGATGGACCCAAAATATGTGATGGACCAATGTAGGGCCCTCTTGAGAAATGTGATTCACGCTGAGCTCAGACTACAATCATCAACCGAATACAATCGACTTAAAAGAGTTAGAGAACCCACTCAGAGTCAGAATTAGTCGGGTGTCATTTTGGTGACTGACTAACTCTGCCCTGATTAGTCGGGTGTCATTTTGGTGACTGACTAACTCTACCCTGACCGACTCCATCAAGACAACTAACCGACTCCATCAAGACAACTAACCGACAACATTCAGTCGACATCATAAAGCTGATCGACTAACCACATCCGGGTCGTTAGTCGGCCAGACGGTCCGTTCAAAATAGACATCCGACAAGATTGGTTGCCCCATTCCAGCCGACTAGGAGGTCAGGTTGAGGATTCCAAGAAACCTTTGGGTCCCACTAAAGCCAATTACTGTAATACCCCATTCAGTGCCTATGAAAATAGGGGTTTCTATGTAATTTTAAGGGTCTTGTCTCCTCTGTCTATAAATAGGTCATGCTCATAATAAATGTTACACGATCTTTAGCCAAAAAAGTCGAGAAGGGTCAATATATATGGTCACTCTCCCCCCTTCACTTGTTTACGCTCTATTCCCCGGGTGTGACCCACAAGACAATAGTATGTTTATTCATGTTTTTGGCTTCTACATGTTATTTCTCATAGAAAGCTAGTATTTATGATGCACAAATACAGACATTAGGATATGAACACGTGATATTTTTATTATTGAAAATATAAGATACGAGCATACGTCAAATACGGTATTATAATCTATAGATTACATATATATATATACTCGACCTAATTTATATGTATTTACATATCTAAAATCAAAAATTTGTTTTATTTATTTATTTATACCAATGTTTTTTATATCACATCTAAAATACCACTATTTTAATTGAAAGAAAAATGAAATACACATTTTCATCGATAGGTAAGGTAACGTGTATGTACAAATTTAAGTTTCAAGTGTTAGATATGTAAGTACATAAAATTGAGTGGTTTCTATGCAAATCTTCCTAAATAAATTATAAAAAATAGATAAAAATTAAATAAACAGAATATTAAGAACAATAAATGAGGCAATGAGAATTAATAACATTGACTTTTAAAAGTTAAGGAATTAACATATGTTATTTTAAGATATAAAAAACTAAGTACTAATTGTTTTGTATTACATCAAGATAAGTTTAAGTTTTATTTGACATATATTTTTTAAAATTTTAGTCTTAAAAATATGTTTGTTTAAAAAATTAATTTATTAATTTTAAACACATGTCTGACACATTGGACTAAATAATTTTTTAATCAGACACTTCTATACCATGCTCATCATGTGTCAGGGTTATGTGGGAGGCATGTTTGATACATGCTGGGCACTGAGTTGCTCCTTAATTAGGAGTGCTCGTCCATCATAGGCTATCACGTGTATAACTTTTCAAGTTATTGAATATCGATCTATCTTCTTTTTTTCATTTGCCTAAGAAAAATGTAAAGTTCTTAAAAATAGGAATCGGTGATCTATTACTAGTTTTGTATGCTTGTATGATTTTGCTAGAGTTAGATTGGTAAGAGTTAGATCTTAAAGACTTTTTAAGCTAATGTTCTTCGAGTCCTTTCATTGTTTCATTTTATTTTTAGGGACATGTTGTAATATCGAAGTGTTTGGTGTTTTGGTAAATTCTCTTGTTACGGAATATTTTAACTTATTCTCAACTCAAAAAGTTAAGAAAGTTTAAAATCTCATCATTTATTTGTTTTTTTAACCAAATCGAACTCCAAACATCCATTTTATTGGTCTATACCATTTAGCTTCAAGCCCAGTGGTAGCCGCAGAAAATCTTATTTTGCCTATTTTCCCGCTGGTAAGAGTATCTATAATATATGGGAATTAAATTGGTAATTGTTAAATATTTAGCTAAAATTCTATTTTACAACGCAAAATTTTTCACCTAGGGGCAGATTGCCACTTTGAAAATGGTGAGATGGTCCGTAACCTGAAAAGGACTTCCTTTTCCGTTATATTTTCTGATGATTCCATTGTATTTATTTGAGGAATCCCATGAATGTGATACTTCTAAGCTCCTTGCCATTTTATCAGTAATTGCTGTATCCACTGGTGAATTTTTTGTTTATGGTACCCAAGTAGCGAGCACAAAATGATTTCATGATTTTGTCGACCAAGGTGCTTGGGCAAGAAAGGTCTTATTTGTCTGGGAAGCTTTTTCAGCGAGTAGTGGCAAACAAGTTGGGCCAACATCAGCATATTTTTCGTTCTATCATCTGAGAAATGATTAACTATTTCATCATCATCATCGTAAAAATATTAGTCTTTTAAGATTTGAAATCTGCAATTGGAGCTCAAAACCTGGCACATGTATTATGCAGCATAAACACGGTGTACTACATGGCACCCTTTGCCACCATGATATTAGCGTTGCCAGCTGTGGTGCTTGAAGGAAACGGTGTAATCAATTGGTTCTACACCCACCCATCTATTCATTCGGGACTGATCATTATTCTCAGCTCGGGCATATTAGCCTTCTGTCTCAACTTCTCAATATTTTATGTCATCCATTCCACGAATGCAGTCACCTTCAACGTTGCCGGGAATCTGAAGGTAATGCCAATGCACGCTGGTAGAATCTTCAACATTTCCCCTTCTACATTGGCTTATACCCTGACAAATATTGTCGTCCTAATTTCTTTTCTGCACTTAGGTTGCCGTTGCTGTTCTGATCTCATGGTTAATCTTCAGAAACCCAATTTCTGCCATGAATGCTGTCGGCTGCATTGTGACGCTCTCCGGTTGCACATTTTATGGCTATGTGAGACATAAACTACCTCAGCAACAGCCAGGAACACCCCGAAGTAAGATGGAAATGCTTTCCCTCATAAATGACAAGCAGGATAAGGCCTAAGCTTCAGCACTCTCCACTACGGCGATACCTGAATCGTGATAAGCAAAAATTTATGATTCCATCTGCTGTCCAAGGCCACTTAAAAGACTTCTTACCTTGCTATTTAAATGATAAGAGAAATTGCCATGTAGTTTTAATACTATTTCTCCATATTTATAAAATGTTAGATTTGTTGATGTAGAATCGAACCAACAGACTGGAGAGGTCTTGCTAACCCAGGACCAGCACAGATGTTTCCAGCTTCCGCACCTGGCTCTGTACTCTTGCCAGCATTGGTCCTTGGATGACAAGAACTTCCACTTCTGCCTGATAATCGGGAAACATAAAACTCAAGTTTTCGATGAAATAAAATAATGGATTTAAGAAAAAGCTTAACAGGAAATCACTGCACACTTCTGTGGTGCTGTAACAAGTTGCTTTGCTGTTGCAAGGCGTTTGCTTTTTTAAAATTATACAGTTCAGAGAATTCAATCCTAATTTTTAAAATTTATCTATTCATAACATGAACACTTAAATCCTCTTTTTTTAATTATCAAATTCATATATATGTAAAAGCCCTATAACTATGAATAAAAAGGTTTATTTTTGTGTAAGTTAAAACTGCATTTTTTCTAATGTGATATGAAAAAATTGAGTGGCTTTGATCCGTGATCCCGATCTTAAATGACAATACTATGATGTATGCAGTTACACATTAAATTTTTCTTACTTATTTTTCTTATTTTGAAACGGCACCAAAAGCTTGATTCTGAAGTAAATAAGAGTTTAATTATTATATTTAAAGATGAAATATTACGTAAGTATATGTATCGTTATAAAGTAATATAAGACTTTTTGATTAAGCTCCTAATATCGAATTTTCAAAAAAAGAATTATAATCTGTTAATAAGGAATTAGATGACAAACTATTTAAAAAAAAAATATTCTTACTCAAACTATCGATGTTATAATAAGAATGAAAGTTTGGATCTTTTTGGTAATTTTGAAGATTGAAAATAAAGTAAACAACTGATTAAATTTAACTAGATATTTGTAAGATGAAGAAAATATAAATAAAATGTTTTTATCCTTATCATGAATAAATAACAAGTAAAAATTTGTTGTGGAAGTATTTATATTGTGTGGTGGCAAATATGATCAATATTATTCTTTATCTTTACTAGAGATATTATAAAGAGTATTGACTAATTTAAAGTTTGAATAGTCTTGAAGACGGGTTAAGTAGGTGAGATATCAACTCTCCCTCCACCTGGGGGGTAACATCTCGTATCAAAACCTAAAATAATAAATCAAATTGAGGGATTTAGTCTGTCACTCTAAAGTCCTGTAATTCTACGTCATTCAAAGTTTATTTTCCTATTTATTTGCACTCAATCATATGAATTACATTCTTATCCATACAATCTCATGTGATTTTCACCATTAGTTGACTAAGACAATACCATCACGGATCTTACATGTTCTTACAACAAATATTAACATATTAATTGACCAAATTAAGAAGTAAATAAAGCACAAGATTTAAAATCATCACAACTTATTCCAATATTAAATATTAATACTTCACACAACTTCCATTCAACACTTAATCACTTATCATTAAAAAAAAATAAAGAAAATTACTTAGAATTCATGAAAAAAACACCACCACATTTAATTTTAAAAGTAAAAAATCATGTAAACAAATAAGAAGTCTAAATTAAAACTAAATGTAGTCACAAAGATAAAAACTCTCAATCCTGTCCTCCAAACTCTTGAAGTTCTTTTGAATCTTCTCTTCCTTTCTCTTACAATACTTTCTACTCACTACAACACCTCTCCTTATTCTCTCTAAAAGTATCCTAATTAATCTAAGAGAGAGAGAGAGGAGTCGGTGGTGGCTAGAGGGGGGGCGACGACTCCTCTTTAATTTAATCCAAGTCTTTTTATAATTTTTCAAAAGGTGTTTTATTATCTCTTTGGAATGTGTCCATATTTAATGAATCTTTCAAGAGTTGTCTCCTTTCAAAAACCAATTGAATGTATTTTCGTGTCCATTAACCATATCCCGTGTTTTCACCAAGAGTTGCTTAAAACATCCCTCCCTTAAAAAATTTGTCCAAATTCATTGAATCATCAAGTAATTCTCTCTGGTGCTTAAGCGCGAAGTATGTGGCACTTAGGCGTTGTCTTCTCGGTTTTCCCAGTGCTTAAGCATCAGTTCTGAGGGTTTAAGCGCCACAAATCATTTGCACAATTTCATTTTTGCTCCAAATTTGATTCTTTTTCACTCATTTCAACATTTTTATCCATTTGATTGTACCTGAAAGAAAAACACACAAATACCTTCCATTAAAGTCAATATCCTCAAAAATAATTATAAAAATATTTACATAAATGCTATATATTTTAGGTGTATCAAAATCACACAAACTTAAAATGTTACTTATCCTCAAGTGACACTGCAATCTTTCAAAACCAAAATAAGTAGAATATGTAAATGAGTTTTTTTAAGATATTCTAAAATTTTGATCTAGAAATATAGTAGTTCAATTTAGAAAAAACTTTAGTACATGAGATCAACTTAGAGTTAATGTAAAAAGGTCTAAAAATATGAGTGTCTATCTAGTTCAGAAATATTTGTAAAGTCTCCAAATATAGAGTTTAGGCATTCCATCTTCTACCCTCATAAATCCTTGTGTTTAGGAGATACAATACTATTCTACCATCTTGCATACTTAGATGCCTTTTCATCATTGTCTGTGCCACCAAAACCTCCAACTTAGACCAGTGCAATGATTCATATGTGGCCACATTTTAAATATTCTCAATTTCTAAAAGGGTTAAAGCACTATATTCAAAACCCATACCCCTGAGCAATGGGTATTATTGTAAGGTTAAGTTGTAAGGAGATAGATCTCATTAATATGTTTTACGTTGAAGGCTACCTAATCATACATTGGTGAGTCCTTATATTTTAAGGATGTTTTTCCTCTACAAATTATAATAAGCCCAAATGTCCTACAGAATATCCAAATTTTGTAAAGGTACTCGGAGAGTGATTCTGAACAACTTTTAAAATCTTTCGGACTTTTTCAAGTTCATTAGGTCATGCTATATTGTTGAGTTGATCGATTCATGTTGAGTTAAGAGTTGTTTCACATTTCAAACTATGCTTAGTTTGTTATGTCTCATCTAGCCCATCTGTAAAGTCATTAGTCAATTCTTGATATTATAGTAAGGGTATGAACAAACCCCAAGAGTATATCTATAAGCAATTAGGAAATTTAAACTCATGCCCCTCAATTGGGTCTGAGCTTGTAGTATTTTTAAATGTTCCATTACTCATGTTTTCTTATTTTAACAACTCCTCAAATGATATTAAGTTAAACCTAATGCACTATCAAGCTCCTGAGACTTAGGGGTAAACTTGTAGTTTTAAGAAGTTTTATAAGATGTACTTGATCTCTATTAAAAGGATTGAAATTTACTTAACCATTGATTGAAGGTTCCAAATTAATGCATTGTGAGGCTTTCAATCTGCCCCCCTCACCAATCATCCAATTTCTCATTTCTTACTATATCAAACAATTCCAATAATTAGCATTTTTCCCTTTTGAGAAAATGTTGTGAATGGTTACTTCCTTCTTTTCCCCTTGTGTTTCAATCATTTCAGTGAACTAATTCTCATAATTTAATACCCTTTCCCTCTAATCAATCCTAAAACTTAATTAAATTAAAGCTAGAGTGTAAAATTCCAAAATTACCTTTATGCCACTAAGATTAGTGCCCCTCTAATTCTCACATTTCTAATTAATGACTAAGAAAATTCACTGACTTCTGACCTGTATGCTAATTAAGACAACAAAGTTGAAATTATATTTTTCAAACATTTAATTATTTTATGTAATTATTTAAACTCTTAATTGTGCACTTAGGAAGATTTTATAATGTTACATAAGTTCAAAGGGCCAATCAGGACCATTTTCATAATTTTTTGAACTATATTTTAATTTTAATAATTTTTAATTGATTTTGATAAGAAAATAAATATAAAATTACATTTTTAATTGTAAAATCAACTTTTATTTTTATTTAATCCCTCTTTGTCATATACTTTAATTTTATAATTATTTTAATTAGTTAGAAGTAAATAATATAGAAAATTACGGCTTTTGGTGCTACAGATGTTCTAAGACCTAAAAATTTCATGCCATGGTGATTAATTTTTAATTATCTATAATTAAAATGGACTTTGAATCATTTAATTAATTTAAAATTAAATTTCAATAATAATTTTAATTTTAGGTTCATTAAACTCTCCTCTATTTATTGAGCACAGGGATATTTCTCTTTTAATTTTTTAATTTTTCTTACATCAAGATATGTTTTTTTTTAATTATATTTAATTTTATATATTTAATTGATTTGAAAAATCCCAATTTATCTACTTAACCATGCGACATCTGATTCAACGTCAACGTCTCCTAAACTCTTTGTGGCACCTTCTGATTGGTTGCACTTTACACCTCAGTTGCCACGTCTGCCCACGGTTCGAACAACTTTGATCCACCATCTAAACCATTCCACATCATCCATTTTACATACACAAGAATGTAAGACATCCGATCATCGTCCCAATGAATCATAATTTGAGAACCATCCACAATCTAGAGCTAAGGTTTCCCTCAACACTTAATCAAATTTAGTGTGGTTTATTTCTATAGCTTCATTTAAGTGAGACAAACAAATTTATAAGGCTAAGTGGACATCTATTCTTTATTTTGTTCAAATACGACCAAAACTGAGATAAAATTAGAGATTTTGAGCTTATACCTTTGCCCAATAGGTGATGCCTCGATTGTATTGGTTAAGTAGTTTTTCCTTGACACAATGAACCTCCCCCAAGTCTTAGTTTCCTTTGTGGTTGAGTCTACGTATGACCTAGATCAAATGGTAGATCGAATTTTGTCTAGCATTAGGTTAGAGGCCACGGGAGGGTGATTTTGATTGGAGAAGTACTTAGAGTATAAGCAAGCTTATAGAAAATTTAATTTGAAGTTTTTGTGGATTTGATAAAATGGTCGAAAACTTCCTAATTTTTAGTTGAAAAATTAGGGTTTCTAAATGAGGAAGAAGGGGTAGGAATGATGGGGATGAGTTTCATATGATTACAAGAAGGTTTAGAAGCAATTTGGTAGAGTTTTCCCAAATTTTATGCATGCCTCCTTATTTGGCCGTGAGGGGTGGTCATATTATAATCCTGACCATGGTGGTCAATTGGCCAAGGTCAGGGGTCTAAGGTGGCACCTATGTGGAGAGAAGACAGAACAAGGGTCTAATGAGAGTGAGCCATCTTGGATGGGTAAAATTTTGGGTTTTGGCTCATGGATGGCTCTCAG